CTGCTGAACATTTAGATACAGAAAGTAAAAAGAGCAGCAAGTTTTAAATAAAATTAAAAAAAAAAAAAAAGGAAGAGAGAAAACCAGTGGATAATAAGCAACACTTTAGTAGGAAACATCCTAGTTAACCTACAGAAAAGCTTCTTAAAAAGCTGTTAACATGTGATTCAGGAAACCCTTTTCTGTATAGATTGGTTTCCTAAAGGAACACAAACATATCCGATTATTACTGAGGAAGAAGAGCTGTCACCTAGACAAGGGTCTATTGAGATCTGCTGATTTACCCTTTGAAGATGTGCTTGTGAATGCTAAAGTAGTAATACGTAAAAGCTCTGAAACTAACCTTGCAGGGAAGTACAAAAAGCCAAGAAAAAATTTGTCTGAAGAAGCATGAAATCCAGAGTCCTGAAAATAAAGCATCAACAGATTACATCAATGGAAAAGCTCAGATATTATTTCACAGCTTGCCTCAAAAGAAATTACTGGGAACCTGGAAATAAAGGCCCGATTTAAAATTTAAACCAACAACTCTAATGATTTCAATGGAACCCAGTAAAGCTTAATTTCTTTACCTCACTTTGTCCATCTGTAAAAAGAATAAAATATCATCATTTCAGAAGGACAACACCTTAATTAACAGAGTCACTGTTTGACATTATTTTTACCAGTGACACCGTCTATTAAAACATAACTAAGTCTTCTATTGAGCCTTTTATAACCATTTTCAAGGTTATTAAATACAGTGAGCTTCCTCACATGATCCAGGAGACCTCATACAACTGATATTTTAGCAAATAAAAATCCCCCAAACCCCAAACTTGTAAAGCAATCGTACTGATCAAATAGCACCAGAAGTGTCCAGTTGCTAGTTTAAACAGCTTTCGGCTCTAATGCATTTTTAAGCCCTTCTCCAAATATCAGCAAAGAGTGCACAACAATTTTTTTACAAGGTCCTTAAGTACCTGACTCTGACAGTTGTGACTGTAGAAAAAGCTTGGGTTAGCGCCACTGTATGTGCTCAAAAAATTCTTGTCAAGTGTCTGAAGATTAAAATTTTTTCTGTGAGAAGTCTGTTGACATTTTGTTGAAGGGACATAACATTCTGGTATATTTTTCAGTCGCTTTACTGGTGAAAACAGAAGATCATTTTGAAAATTTCCTAGTCTTTTAACTCTGGGAATTGCAGATAAAGTTCGAACAGGTGAGTTAACAAGAGCATTTACAGTTTCAGACATGTGTATTCCTTCGTATTTCCTTAAATTTGAAGCTCTCTGAAACCCAGGAAGTTTTGGAACATCCTCACTACACAATTGCTCATAGATCCTGTCAAATTCTCTATCACACAGTGGACCAGACCTCACAGAAACACTTAGATTACTCTTCACTAATCTTCCTTTCTCTTCAAGATTCTGTGAATTTGAAAGAGGTCTTGTCAATGCCAAAGGCTTTTCAATTTCTTTAAAACGCAGTTTGTAGTAGAGTTGTTCAAATGCATCTTCATATTTCTGGGGCATCTTTGAAGGACTCTGCTTTGTAGACAATGAGGAAAATGAGTGTTTGCACTGGAAAGAAATTCGTCCTTCAGAAATTCTTTTTTCAGGATTTATGAGCAAAGTATTTGATGTTCTTGCAGGAGAACAGTTCGTGACAGGTGTAAAAGTGTTATTGTTGCCATAGGAACTGCAAGTAGGTAAACACAACTCTGTGGTATCACCACAAGGAAAGTCAATTTTTTGAGTTTTACTCTCTTTCACCAGATGAAGTGCTGTTGACCCTGAACTGGCAGCAGATGTTATAAAAGGGTATCTCGAGGAACATTTGTAAGCCAATTCTTCACTTTCTTTGCATTTTGAATTTTTCAGTGAGACAGTACTCTGTAACTCATCTTCCACTAGAAACGTCTCTCCCATTCTAGCCATAACATTAGGAAAAGTCTTTTTGGAGACTTTTTGGCCTTTTCCAGATAACAAATGATGTTCTAAACTTGAGTCAGAGTAGTCCATTTCAATTTCATTTGTATCAACGTAAGAATAAGGTACAAGACCAGATAAATTATTAATGGCATGCTTATCATCACAAAGTTCTCTGTTCTCATTTCTGAAAGTTTGATTCTGGATGTCTTCACTTCTGCTGCTGCATATGCTGGGTAGTGCTTTCCTCAGTTTAACAGGTCTGAACCCTCTTATTTTGTCTACAGTGACATTGAGCTTTGGTCTTCCAGAATGCCATCTTTTGTGCCTTAGGTGCCCAAACATGTATTTTAACACTTTTCTCTGAGCCTGCTTTTTCATGACCCTTGTAAGTATCTCTACCATGGCTGGATACAAGTCTGCAAGAGTTACATTGCTCCAGGAGCATTCCTCATCTGCAGACTGGTATTCTTCCAAGACACTATCATAGCAAGTTTTATTCAGTTCTGGAGAAGGTTGATGTCTGGGTATGGTTACTGTATTTGGTGAAATGGGAACACCAGAAAGTTGTAACGGTAGAGGTCTGGATGAAGAACATTTATTTGACAAGTCTACTTTCCCTCTGCAAACACCAGCTTGGTTGCCTATTAAAAAAAAACCAACAAAAGAAACCACAACAACCCCAAATGAATCACAAAACAAAACTAGAAGAAGAAAAAAACCCACTGAACCTATTAGGGCACTTCCAATAACATATTACATGACAGAAACAATTGCATGTGGCACAGACAGTTGTAATATAATAGCATATTTCATTAAGCTTTTTTGCCAGGCTAAACAGCTGATTAACATAATCCATTAGGAAAAAATTTAAAGGTTTGCCCTAACTATATTGACAGACTACAGAAAGATAGAAATGAAACGTGTCAGGAAAAAAACAATTTTAAAATAGCTTAATACGTAGATATAAAATATTTTCATTGTAGAGGGAGACCGCTTTGCTTTTTGTGATTTCTGACTAGGATGAATGGCCTTATCCTACAGGTTTTGTTACTCTATTTCCATATTACTTGAAACCTTTGTACTTGGCTAGTACCTGTGCAGCTTTTCTTGCCATACAGCACAATTAAGCAAATGATTTTTGTAGTTGTTAGGCTTGAAAAATTCTAATAGAAAAAATTCTATCAAAATTCTATCTTCGGTTTGCATCAAGTCTAGAGAGCTGCTGAAGAAAGTAAGTTTACTGTCGAAGTACTGCTTACCAGCAGACCCAAAGCCATTCATTACATTCCTTGAATTTAAAATAAGCAGAACAAAAAAAATTATGTTTTCATTTAGTTAAGCTTAATGCTGCTGAATTTTATAAATATGCATTTTTTTTCCTGAGACTATTTAAGAAAAGCTGTTTTTATATATGTAAGTTATTTATTTTATATTTTTCAAATACATTTTGCCATAAGCAAAATCACATCTAACTTTTCTTCAAGAATCCAGCCTGTTGAGCTTTTCTGTTGGATAAATAGTGCCTCTGTGTTTTCAATAAATTAAATATTTATTTCTAGCAAATTTTAATAAAAACACATTTTGTAACTATCATATTTGACCAATACCCAAAAGATTTAATTGTACCAATGAGTTCTTGCACTGGCAAAGCTAAATGAAGACCTTCCAATGAACCTTGAGGTGCTACCTGAAAAAGAAACAGGAAAAAAAAAAAAGATATAATCTAATATCCTGAATTTTTTTGCACGTTAAAGGCAACATCAAAACCTTATTTGTGACTCCTCTTACTCTCTCTCCTTAATATACTAGGTCCTTACTATACCAGGTCCTGTACAGAGTTATGGTGATAAGGGGCTTCATAAATTACAGACAAGGAGGAAAAAGTCTAGTTTAAAACTTCAATAAGAATTTTTAAGAGTTACCAGTTTAATCTTGGAAAGCTGTTTGTCATCTTTGCCACTTCTACATTATGTATCGTATTTTAATTCCTTTCCCAACTATGAGACTTTATACATGGATATATATACCTGGATAATCTATACATCTCGGGCAACTCCAGTATGAAACTGAAGCCGTGCCATGTAACATAACCCTTCACCCCCAATCCCCATCACCCTCAAAACCAATATAAACTCCTTTTTTCTCTACAAACCTCAAATTTAGGCTTTTCAGAAAACTTACTGAAGTGAAGATCAGCTTGCACATCAGGGTTCAAAGAACAAAGTACAAAAGTAAATAAAAAAAAAGTTTGCATATTGTCTGCTCTGTTTCTTACAAATCATTGCTGTCAGAGACCTGAGATACTGTGATATTATGTAGCCAGCAAGCAAGAGAGGAACAATGATAGAACAGCAGAGAAGCTGTATTAGAATTCATTGTGCTGCACAGTTAGAGTTCTTATTTCATTCTAATAAGCTAACAATTTAAAACAGGAGAAATATGTTACCGTAATCCATTGGGGAATTTTTCTAGCATTATCTTGTACTATCACATCCACTTGAAATTTTACTTCCTCTTGATTTTTCCCATTATCTACGTGTGGATTCTTAGAGGGGAAAAAAAAAACAACAAAACAACTAATTAAAACACATAGAAGTTACTGACACTGACAAACCCAAATATATTACTTAGACTTGTTTCAAACTAGTATTATTCAGATTAGGATATCGAACAGCATTAACTTATTTTTAAGGTAAAAAAAAAAATCCTGAGATGGAACTATAATTGAAGACATATAAAAAGAGATAACTAGCTAGTTTATTGATGCAGGGAAAGCAAACACACTGCCTCAGAAGACCCACTGATAAAAACAAAAAAAAAAAAAGGGAGAAAAAAAAAGAAAAAATGTCCTAGTGTTAGGTTACAAAGCACTGGTAATTACAGCTGCAAATCTTTACATGTATTATTAGCATCCCATGAATTCATATACAAATTAAGGTCTACTTTATAATGCACCTCTCTGTAAAATCTAAAAGCATTTGGTGATAAATGGTAAATGTTTTTCATCAATGAAATTCACTTTCCTAAATGGTTTGTATTAGCTGTTGTCAGAGATATGACAGTGCTTAGCACTATGCTAAAGAAGCAAAATAAATTAAATTTTTGGTAATTGTATTTGAACAAGCAGAACACTGGATTAGGATGGCTGCACACACAAAGTGTGTGTTGTACTTTTCTTCATCAATGTAACTACTCTGGGTAGTCCTGATACCGGTAGTCTAGTTTGGGAAACAATAGCAGAAGATTCCAGTCTGCTTTTGTTATGGTAGCCATTATTTCAGATTTAGCTTTTCTTAAAAAAAACCCCACAAAAACAACAAAAAAAACCAAACAAAAAACCCACACACAAAAAAACAACCACCACATGTTACCTGTTTATGCTAGACTCTGAGGTGAGCGATCATATTTTTGTAAGTGTTTTCACTTTGTGATTCATCTGGTTATTCTTTTTCCATACCTGTAACAGACTTTCTTAGTGTTGCCTGTTCTATGCAATATATTGTATGGCTTTCTCTGGTATACTAATAATACCAAGATATAATATTATTCCATACTGGTCTTCATGACATTATTTATTGAACACCTCATTTGCTATACTTACTAAAAATGTGCATTAAGATGCAGACTAAGAGTCTTCTGTTGACAGTGCATCAACTCAGACACGCGTAAGCTATTCAAATAGTTCAATCATGTCTACTGAACACAAAATTATTCCATTCAATTAGACACCACAAATTTTTACCTGGAGGTGAATGTCTTCAAATTTTCTTCTCACTGAAACTATACTGGCATCACTTTCTTCATCTAGAATTTGAAGATAAATACTAAATAAAATCTAGTTAAAATTAAAATGGAGATGTTTACACTGTATAACTTATAGACTAAACTGGCTTCATTTTAGAAAACAGTTTTCTACACTAAAACTTTTAATCTGTATTACATTTTCATTTCAAGGACAATTGAAAAGCATGGTTTATGGGTTCATAATTGACTTGAGGGGAACAAAGGAGAGTGAAGATACCTTACTTGTAACCAGTTCAGAGAGTAAAATATTTTCAAAAGCACTGCTCTGCAAGGTTCAGTATTCATTATGTATCATTCCCACTGCATTCCTAAATATCCCAACAAAGATAGTAAGGACCTTCTACCAGACTTCCTTTTCTTCATTTCTTATTGTCAAGACTGCCTTAGCACTGCCTACGTGAGAAATAAGACAGACTTGAGAATATTAAAAAACAAGTCCAAATCTTCCAACTTAATTTTTAGGTCCTTTATGGGTATTTTTGTGAATGAAATGCAACGAAACATTTATTTTGCTAGATGTAGCCAGACCTTCCAATTCTTCATTAGCTAAAGCCTCAGTCTTTCACTATCATAAAACATGACTGCATGTAAACCTTGATTTCTGAATTTCCCTGACTGTTGTATCTTTGTCCTACAATCGTGTTCACCGCAGGGAGGGAAAAAGGAGAGGAGATAACCCTGAAAAGGAAAACAATGAGTGAAAAAACATCTTGGTTACACCGCCTGCCACATCACTGCCTCTTCATACTATTCTTAAATTACTAAAAACAGAATGAAAATCTTTTCCAGCTAATCCTATCTTCCTTTTTGGTTCCAAGTCACTGCAATCATCACCTAAAGCTCTGTGGACAGCTGCTGCCATACAGTTAGGATAAAGACACACAAAAGAAACACTAGCTTTGTGGGAAACAACACAATTTCACATCTTCCAGTGCAAATGTTGAGTAATCAGAGGGCTGTCTTTGACAGTCTACCTGACCCCAGTAGAATTCTTTTATTAGAACTGAGACCCATACCTGTCAGAATATCAAAGTTTCTTCCCCCATGACTAACGGAAAACGAAGTTGTGGTCATTTTATCCACAGGAAATCAGTTACTAAGCATCAACAGGGCAGGAAACAGTAAGAATGTTAATGTTTTAATCTGAAAAAGTTTCACCCTCCAGTTTCTGTTGTAACAGCTGATACTCTCTTTCTGCCATACAGTATTCTTCCTCCAGTAGAACTGGGCACAAAATTGGCAGACTGCTCCCTAAATGGTCACTGAGATGAGCAGACTAGACTGCTACAAAAATGGGAGGTTCTTGAGATAAAGGTAACAACTCCAATGTCCAGGAATGGTTGACTCCATCAGGCCAATTACAAATGATTAGAAAATAGCTTGAATCATACAATGAATTGATCTGTATAAAAGTTGAATACTCTTCTAGGTGTCAAACCTCACAAAAGTATAAATTTAGTATGATTGACAGTACTTTGAAGACATACTTCAAATCACTGGAACATTAATTATTAGCAGAGGACCATGGCACAGCACAGAAAAAAGTGAAGTATCTTCTCCAGGGAACCTTAGCGTGTATTTAAGGGCCAAAAGGGAAATTCAGGAACACCTTTGTTCCTCAAGTGCAAAAGAGAGGAAAAATGAAAACTCACACCTTTCTCCCTGGCAAATTTCACCTATAGTATAGGAAGTTATTTCACTGGAGATGTACTCAATACACTATCATTACCTAAAAAGATATATCTTATTTAAAAGATGAACATGTTAGCAAGAGGATTACTGCAAGTTTTAAGTTTTGACTGTGATGTGATCTTCTAAACTTAAAGACACTTAGATATACAATTCAGATTGAACATTCCCCTTTCACTCCAAATAAAGTAATTTTTCTGTGATACTATCCTAAAAGACACAAGAAATTGTTCAGATCACACTACTTCTGAGAAACCAAAGGAGGGAGACCTAGTAATTTTCCCTATTAGCAGCAGACCAATACTTGCAAGTACAGGTGACAGCTGTTTCACTTTATTTGTACTTGCTGTTGATAGGCTTTGCATACTTTTACGACAAAAATACCGTCTAATACCATGAAGAAACACTGCCTTCACTGAGAAGTGTGAAGCATTCTGTACGAATACTGAAAACGGAAAGCAGCTAAAGACAGAATTTTTTCTTAACAGTTAGCATGCCCTATTACTAACCTTTTATATATTCAAAGGAAAAAAAAATTCACAGAAAAAACCCAAAACAACAACCAAAAAAACCCCAAAACACCTAGGTGAATTCCATTTTTAAGCGAGGAATCCCACCTCACATCTCTATGAATCTAATTTCTAGGTCTTAATATATTCGGAGGTAGCTGGGACTCACCAGGGCTGCTATAAACCCTCCCCAATCTCTTCCTAGAACATTCACAAGAGAAGGAGGAGGACTGGATAATCGTATTATTGCATGCTGCTATGAAGATACCAAAGTCTGACTGCATCACTCATTTATCCCATGAGCGCAAAAGACACAAAGGACACTCACAGAAGCTAAGCTACAGATGCCTCTGAAATTTGTTTCCTATATTTCACTTCGCTGTTTGAGAAAAAACAAAGTCACATTTTCTAAATTGGCAGAAATTATTTTATCATTCAAATAGATATTTGAAGTTATCCTCTCAAATGGCAGGAGGACAAATTTCCGATTTCTCTGTTCTGTTTTCCCTCAACAGAGAATTAATCATCTGCCTTGGAGATAGCTATGCACATGAAGCACCTAACTTATACCAGGATGTTTAAACAGCAGCTAACCATATTTTGCTGCACTGCTTCTTTCATCATTAAATGTTGGTTACCACCTAGCCATAGTTTCACTTATGCAAAATAATAAGTTCTTATATGCACAATAATGAAAAGATCTTGAGTAATACAAGTTTTAAATATTGTTAAAACACTCATTTGGATATCACTAAGTAATACAATCAAATAATTATTTGGGAATACAACGTCAAAGCCACCCAAAACTTTGCAGACAGGTCACAAGACTGATGCTGAAACTGTTACAAACACTACTGAAGATGTACTGCTGCAGCTGAACGCAATATCTGTGTTCACCAGACCACTATAAATTACTGTACATGTTCTAATTATTACCAAAACTTCTATTGCCACTAATGCCAAAGTTTTGATTTCACTGTTCCTTCCTTTATTAAGAAAAGGCAATTGAACATATTCCACATAAGCTTTCCAACGTATCAGGGACTTAGGACTGAGATTTTAAAGAGGAACGTGGATATTGATTTCACAGTACTGTCACTACCTCAGTCTCTTGTTATTCCTATTCTCTGCTTTCTGAAAGGGTACAGAACACATATTAAATTTATTTTTACTATATTAGAAAATGATGGAAAAGCTATTTGCAATCTTTTTCAAAAGATTAAAAAAGGTAGCTAAAAAGTAAATTAAAATACCCACCTATGTCAGGTGTGTCCACATAAGAGTTCTCAGGAGATACCTTAAAAGCACATGAAAGGAATTTTAAGACCTAGTAGCATAAGTTATATTAACTAGTCCATAGAATTTTCTGCTCCCACTACTTGCTCAATTTTTTTGGGGGTGGGGACAGAGGCAGTGAAACAAATCCAGTCATATTCCACAAACTATGTCCAAATGATACCATCTTTAACAAATCTGTACACAAATTTGTCTTGATTCACATCTGATTACTCAATGAGGAAAACTATTTTCTTCCCAGCCCTTCTATACTTCGAAAAATAATTCAAGGAGAAGCTATTACGCAACAAGAGCAAAAATTCTAATCACCAAATCTTTATCGGTGCATACTGGGGATTTTCTCTGTGTTCCAATGTATAGGGAAAGTTTCTTAACTGCCTACTTTAAACAATTCTTCATTGGCTACTTCAAACAAATATAATATAATATAATATAATTAATATAATATAATATAATATAATATAATATAATATATTTCAAATAGATTTTTTTTCTCTCTATTTTGTAGAAGCCTTGATAGTTGCATAAAAAGCTCATTGATATACATAAGGAGCCTTTTCTAAATGCTTAGAGTCTACATCTAACATCACGTTCTTCAGAATGTCTTTCAAAAAGTCTAAATCTATTCTATCCAGTTCAATCACAAAATCGGTGTATAGTGGGCTAAAGTGATGTCAAAAAAATAAGACAACCTTAACTACCATCTATGTAGAACAAATAATTACGAGTGACCACTGAGATGGCCCGTATCACTCTTCAAATGCTGAATATTTTCTCCTCAAAAAGACAAGGAGTCAAAAGAAGTTATTCTATAGAACCACAGATTTTACATATCATAATTAAAAAAAGTTAGACGCACATATTTCTTAACTAAAAAGACACTTGATGGTTTAAAGTCTATGTCCAACTGCTCTATGTCCCTTTAAGTAAACTTAAAAGAGCAAAATTCAGCTGAAAGCCATGGCTGATATAACAGCTGTTATTCGATACCCTAAATATCACAACAGGATGGAGAATATAGGATATATAATTATATGAAACATATGTGAAGCCTACCACACAAACAACATGGAGACATAGTAAAAACAAAAATTAGAAAAAATAAAAATGCATGAAGCCACCACCACCGAATATATTAGACCAGCACATACAGAAGTCCCGAACTTGAATTCATTAGCATCTTAAAGCACAAAGCCTACTGGAGAAGTAAACAATCAGGAGAATCACAGAATCACATTAGGATAGGGGTTGGAAGGGACCTCTGGAGATCATCTGGTCCAACCCCTCTGTCAGAGCAGGGTCACCTACAACAGGTTGCACAGGATGGTATCCAGGCAGGTTTTGAATGTCTCCAGAGCGGGACACTCCACAACCTCTCTGGGCAGCCTGTTCCAGTGCTCTGCCGCCCTCAAAGTAAAGAAGTTCCTCCTCATGTTAAGATGGAGCTTCCTATGCTCAAGTTTGTGCCCGTTACCTCTTGTCCTTTCACTGGGCACCACCGAAATAAGACTGTTCCCATCCTCCTGGCACCCTTCCTTTTAAGTATTTATAAGCATTGATAAGATTCCCCCTCAGTCTTGTCTTCTCCAGGCTACAAAGACCCAAGTCCCTCAGCCTTTCCTCATAAGAAAGATGTCCCAATCCCCTTATCATCTTTGTAGCCCTTTGCTGGTCCTTCTCCAGCAGTTCCCTGTCCTTCTTGAACCGGGGAGCCCAGAACTGGACACAGTACTCCGGATGTGGCCTCACCAGAAGCATACTAGATGATCAACAGTAATAAGAACATGAAGATTTTAATTTTACAGAAACATATATCTGGTAATTAAAGACACATCTTTCCTAAAATAATGCATCTACATGTGAGGAACTACATGACGGGAAATATAAAGCAATTGGTTAATAAGATACCTGAAGTCTGAAGAACTGCAGTGAAAGAAGTGCAGCAAAATACCTCAAACCATCAATTTTTTCAGAAGTACTTACTTAAGGAGAATAAAGTGATTCAATTCAGCAATTAGTAGGTCTTTAAAATCTAACTTTATAGCTATGGTACAGGATCACCTGCTCATGATTAATTTCTTAGGTTTTGACTACATAAATAAGTTTTTCCAAGAGGGCTTTATGAAAGTAGATACAATGTGGTGTGCATACCTGATGTATTGTTGAATGTCCATCTTCAAAATCACTGGTCTGTTGCTTTGACATATCTTAGCAAACATGGGAGGAAAAAAATAATTCTATTTCAATTGGATAGGTCACAGATCAATGTTGTACCTGAACATATTAATTCTTCATTTGTATATACTCGTATTTATTTTGAAAAATATTTAACACAAACATTTAATAAATGAAGACCATACATAGGACTGAACCAAAGAACAGACAAGTGACAGAACAACATTCTAGTCAAATATAGCAGACTAAATCTGATCAGATGTACATCTACCATATTACTTTTTTTTTTTTTTCATAACTCATGAAGCACCACAAAAAATAAAATTTGCCCCTTTATCAGGTGGTAACATGTGCAGAAAAGGAAGACAAATGCAAACTTTTTGTGCATTTTTCTTTGCATATGTT